CGCAAACACACAAGCATTTTCGAAATAAACAAATTATCAAAATCTCCAACTCAAAGATAAGCTGACGTAGAGACGTGTGGCACAGCATAAAGGATGCAAAAAATTTTGTTATAAATCTTTAGAGAGAGAGAGAGAAAGAGAAAGAGAGAGAGAGAGAGAGTTATAAATCTTTAGAGAGAAAGAAAGAGAGAGACAGAGTTATAAATCTTTAGAAAAGAGAGAGAGAGAGAGAGAGAGAGAGAGAGTAAAAACAACACAAAATAAAAAGTTATACAACAAAAAAAACTTCAACTCCGTCAATCGATCCGCCATCTTGAATCACGTGATAGCATCTTGTTCTTCTTATCTGGTTGTCATGGCGAAAGACGCGAGAAGTGACTAACAACCGCAGATAATTCGTCTTTTATTTATGCGCTACTATGCATATGTATGCCTACCTGATGGATGGATGGATGGATGGATGGATGGATGGATGGATGGATGGATGGATGGATGGATGGATTAACGTAGGTGTGCATTTGCGCTTACATTACGTGTCTTTCTTTCTATATGTGGGCGTGTATATTTATGTGTTTGGCGCGCGTGTAGAGTGCGTATATTTATTATGTGTATATACAGTGTATATGTGTATTTTATATACAGTGTATATGTGTATTTTATATACAGTGTATTTGTGCATATTATACACATAATATAGGTCGTTTGTATTTGAGACGGGTTTATAGATAGACAGACATGTATGCGTAGGTAGATTTGTGGGTTGATGAGTATGAATGTGATGTGTTTATGTGTTTCTATGAGTTTGTATGTGTGATGTGTGTGTGTGTTTGTGTGTGTATGTGTGTCTGTTGTTAGCTGCATACCTAACCCTCACTCATACCATTTCATTGTTCATTGTTTAACGCAGTGTTTTTGGCTTTGTTTTTACCGAATTGCTATCTTTAATAATAATAATTGTAATAATAATAGTATTATTATTATTACATATATTATAATCATTATTTTAGATTATTATTATTTATATTATTATCATTATTTCTTCTTATCCTTTTTATTGTTTTTTCTCATAAGAAATTTACACACCTAAAGACACGCGAGCCTGTGGCCGCGACTCAAGACCTTGATATATAAGGCACGGATAAATATGTAAATATAACATAGATCATTTATTATTTCTATATTTTATTATTATTCATATTATTATTGTTATTATTATTATTATTATTGTCATTTCATAGTATTTATATTTATTATTTTTATTATTATTTTGCTATAATTAATCTATACGGCGGAGGAAATATCATATTGATGGCCGTATTATACGGTACATGAAAACATAAAAATAAAAAAATTTGTGAATAAATAAATAAATAATAAAAAAAATAATAATAATAGTAAAGTTAGTGAAAGCTAAATAGATGAATATTAATAGAGGGAATAATAATAAGAATAATAATGAAAACAGATTTAATTGCGTTAAGATATCGATACAAAACTGATATAACAAAATGAAACTGGTATAACGAAACGAAACCGGTAGAACTAAACGAAACTGGTATAAGGAAACGAAACTGTAATTTTTCATTTTTGTGCAATATGTAATCTTAACGATGTAACATCGAGTTACCTAAAATAAATTATATTTTTTGATGAATCAGTGAAAATTTTAGAACATAATGTAGAATATTTTTTTAAAAGAAATAATTAAAAAATGTTATTTGCATTATGAATGAAAGAATGCACCGCGGCAAAAAATAATTTTTTAAATGGAAAATAAATTGTATTATTCTCATTTTAGTCCAAATGTTAAATTTATAAAAGAAAAAATTTGAATTTTTAAAAAGTTGGAGAGAAAAGATAAGAGATAAAAGAACAAACCGACCAGTCGTGAATCGCAGATGAGGAAAAGCTATGCAACTGCCATAATCAGGACATTTCCTCCGTTAGATCAACAAACACACTAAACTAAGCCGCACACAGGCATACACACGAACACACAGACACACCGATGTATGCACACTTTCTTCTCTATTTGTCTGTCTGTCTCTCTCTTCTCTCTCTCTTTTTCCTCTTTTTCTCTCTTTCACACACACACACACTCACGCACACCACACATCTATGCACTTTGTCTGTTTGTTTATCTCTCTCTCTCACTCTCTCTCTCTTTCTCTCTCTCTTTCTCTTTCTCTTTCTCTCTCTCTCTCTCTCTCCCACATGCAATGTTTTTGCAATGACTCAGTTCGAATACTGTCTCTACCAAATCTCAAAGAAAAATTGTCACACACGTTCGCGTGCGTGCTACGGCCCTTGGTCATGTACAAACATTCAACTGTGATAAGATAGGTGAAAAATGCTAAAGTGTATTTAGCTTTTTGCACGTCAGTTCAGTCCTGCTTTTTTTATAGAAATTTAAAATTTTGATTAACATGAAAAACGCGAACTTAACCTAAAAAATTATTGCGAAAATCAAATATTAAAAACTGCCTACTTCCTCTAAAGCAGTCGTGAAAAAAAAAACCAAAAATATCAAAAATCCTGAAAATTGAAATGAATAAAACAAGTCCAGCAAAAGTAAAATACGCAAATGTTACATCAAAAAAACACTTAAGTGTGTGTATATTAAAAAAATGTTGGCATAAGAGCAAAAGATAAATAAAAACAAAATTGTTTTTCTTGGAAAAACAAAAATGTGAATCACATGCAAATAAAAACAAGCTCAAACATGTTTAGACAGGTACAAAAACATATACAAACATACAGAGATACAAACATACAGGCATACAAAAACATATACAAACACATAAAAAAAACATATACAGACATATACAAAGACATAGACAGATATGTACAAAAACAAATACAGACATAAAAACATTATACAGATACAGAAACACAAACATACATACACTACACAAGCATACATACACATACACACACGTACTCAGACATAAAAGTAGTCAGAACTGGAGTAAAATGTATGGCTTATGGAAAGATTAAAGTCAGAGGAGAACATTAAGATGGGCCTATGTAAACATCAGTCTGATGTTGCTGTCGTTTTTGGTTGTCGTTGGCCAGCACAAATTGCATCACATATTCAGAGGGAGAGCAAAGCAACATGTATATTTCCTGCTTCTGTCCGCTGCATTTCACAATTTATGCTGGGTAGTTTAACTTCTTCAATGTTTGAAAAATCAATAACCGGACTTAGATAGATACTAACCGATATTATCAAGAACAGAGGCAGCTAAACTGTTTTAACTTCAAAAATTGCAACGTTCAACGCTAAATTATTCAACGGAACAAATTTCTTTAGAAAATGAGCAAAACGTTGTTAAATAAAATTAACACAAACTCTAAACAAATAGAAACAGGATAATAAACATAAGCATGGTATAAAGAGCAGATGTTTATTATTTCATTCGTTCATCCGTTCCTAACTCATTTTTGTGGAGAAGGCATCTTTTAATAAGTTTATCATCTGACGACCATGCAAACATCGCCGCATTCATCTTCAACGTGAGATTAAAATTCCGCTCATGATCATGACGTAAGCAGGAAAGCAAATTCGGTATGCTAAACATTCATTTTCAAATATTTTGCCAGAATTTTTGTTTTAACGCTGCTCATTTAACTGAAAATTGGAGCAAACTATAGCCTATTGTGATTTTTAGTTTACTTTGTAATCATGTTCATAAAATTTTACGCTTGCATTACAGAAAGTTTGTCAAATTTATGTAATGTAATGAAAATTCACGAATTTTATTTATTTTGTCATGTTTTTACGCACTAGGGTATTTGGCTGATCTTTATGCGTGCAAGTATTTGTCAAAAATCAATCTACTATTCAATATAGAGAGACTGAGATGATTGCCTTATAACACATGTACAAAGGTTTGCTCCAATCATCTGCCTCTATTCTAACGTTTTCATGCAAGTCTGACTATTTTTTAGACATTTTATTAGTAGAACTTTTTCTATTTAAAGTGTAATTGTCAATTGTGTCTTTATTCATCATTACAACCATAGAGTTTCAAGACTAGAATTGTTCTGCTCTAAGTAGAACAAGCGTTGTCCTTGCATCACACATTAAATTGTATTATATACAAAATATTTTCAAATGACATATTAGTATGATTTAATTATTTAGTTACACAAACGTTTTCCTATAACGTTGAAGATCATGTACTATGGCTAATGACCGTTGTAAAATCTTAACAACTTTCCATAATTTTTTTAATTTAAACTAACTTTTAGTAAACATCAATCTAATGTCAACGTTCATAAATAAAAATTTTTAATTCCAAAAATTTAATTTATAATTTATAATAATAGTCGTGTACTAATTAATAATTTAGGTCCGTAGTCTTGTTTAAGATGTCCAATTTAAAAATAGAAGAGACAGATTTGTTGTGCAAGAAGGGATGTGGTTTCTACGGCAATCCAGCCTGGCAGGGTTACTGCAGCAAATGTTGGAAGGAATTGAAGCACAACAAGGATGACAAAATGTAATTTTTTTTTATTAATTAAAAAATTAAACAAATATACCAAAGTTGGAATAATATTTAATTCAGTTTAATCATTTTATTCTTAGATTTTTACATTTTTTACTGTTGAGTTTTATTTTACTGTTTGTCTGCTCATTTTTTTCTTTTTTTGTAAACTCTATGTAAGTAAAGTGTAAAGTTTACACTGTAAGCATAAATAAACTCTAAAAAAATACAGTAATTTGTTGAGTAAAAAACTGACAATTTAATCTTTTTTTATTTTTTAGTTAATGTTATTGATTTTTGTTTTGTATATAAATTTCAGTAAATTTTTGGGAAAGAATGAACTTTTAGGCTTGGCCAGTTCTTTGAAATTTGACCCCAAGACTACCCTACAACAACAGCAACAACAACAGCCTTCTAGCACTCAACAACAACATTCTCTGCTCAGAAAATCAAAAATAATACCATCAATTTTTGGAAAAAGTCTTAGTAAGTTGTTGTTGTTGTTGATTTTTTCATATTCTTCTCCAAAATGTTCATTTAAATTAATAATTCTTTATGAAATATCTGCAGATTTTATACATACATGAGTGTTTTACAAAGATAATTCTCATTCATATACATATATTTTTAATTTGGTAACATTGTACCCAAACACTAAATAATTCCATATTATTCTTGTCAGACCATGATCAACAATCTCATTCCCATCGACACCAACAAAGCAAACCTCGATCGACGACGACACGGCAATCGAGTGAAGAGAGTCAAAAAGTTGGTAAGGAATTAGTGGACTATTTACGATCTTTGGATATGAAAGAGATCATGATCAACATCCCCAAGCAAGTTAAAGGAGTCATTGAGAAACTCTACCAGATGAGTTTGGGTAACAGTCCTGTCGATGAACTTTCCGAGATGCTCTCAACTTTTTATCAACTCATGAATGACAACATGACCAGTAAACACCTTTATAAAGGTTTATACAAATGTAATCAAACTTTTGAATATTTAATTTTTTTCTTGATAACATTTAGAAAAACGAAAATTATAATACTAACTTAATATTATAATAATAATGGAGAAATAATTTAGAGAATCGTCAAACTTACTCAGAAATTTTCTAAACACCATCACCGAACTAGACCTCAAAGCAGAAGAAGCTGAAGAGTTATTGAACTTGTGCGAGAGATACGTACTGACAAGACTTTATTCGCACCTGTTCAGCCCATCAGTGACAGACGACGAACAACTGGATTTGAAGTTGCAGGCTCGAATAAGAAGCCTGCATTGGATTTCTGTCCACTTGCTGGACGTTGTACTCAATGAATCCATTGATGGTGTTAGAGAACACGTGGAGTCTGCTATTACTGGTTTGTTGGTTTTTTTTGTTTTGTTTGAGTTTGTTTGTGTTTGTTTGTTTGCTTGTGTTTATTTTTTTATTTTAACTTGATAGTAAATTTTATAGCATGATAATAGTATGAATAATAACATTAACTATATTCTAAAAAATTTTTAACTTTTATGCTCTATAATAATGATGATTTTAACTGGGTTAATAATGAAAATTTTATAACTCTCAATAATAAAAATAATAATATAAATAATAATAATTACTGTATGAATCATGATAAGTATGTTGTGTGCTGCTGTGTGTTTTTATATAAGGATGATTCATTCTTAATGATGCTTGTGATGACTTACCTAATTGTCTGATGAATGTAATGGAATGGTAATTGTTCTCAGCATGTTGTGTGTGCTGCTGTTTGTTTTTTCATCATCACGTCTTCTTCCTCCAACAGCAATCATAGAGATGAATGCCAAAAGATGTCCGCAAGATAAATTGGAATGTGTGGTAAAATGCAGTAAGCACATTTTCGAAGCCCTCAAATTTTCAAAAAATGAACCGGCCTCGGCAGACGAGTTCCTCCCGGCCCTTATCTACATCGTCCTGAAGGCTAACCCCCCGCTACTCGAGTCGAACATTCAGTTCATCACCAGGTTTACTAATCCGACCAGGCTGATGACTGGCGAAGCTGGCTACTATTTCACTAATTTGGTGGGTCTTTGCAAGCATGCATATTCTTCTTGTCTCTTGTTTAATACTTTTTAAGTGGTTCTTTTTGTTCTCGTATTTTATTAAATTTGTGAAATAGTTCGTTGCTGATGTAAATTCTAAATAATCAATTCAAGAGTTGTTAACCACGCAATCTTTCCAATGCAGTGTTGTGCGGTTGCCTTCATAAAGAGTCTCACTCACGAATCTCTGAACCTGCCAGAGTCAGAATTCAACCGGTACATGAACGGCGAGATAACTGCCCACGACCCACACATCAGCCGAACGTGTGAGGGCCTCAAACTCATGGAGAAGAATGAAAAAACTTTGATGGAAGTGAAGTCGGGCCAGGAGGCTCTGATGGCAGAGATGCTGCAGATGCAGCAGGACATGATTGACTTCAAAACATCTTTCCATTCTCAACTGACGTCATTAAAGATGAGAGCCCCTCTGAAAATTAAACCACGGAGGAAAAAAGTAGACCTAGATGCCGATGACGATAGCAAGGTCCTGCAGTTACCACCTCCACTACAGCCACAAGTTGTCGGTAGTGAAACGTTTAATGCAGTTACTACTGCTGCCACTACTTCATTGTCGAGTGTGCTGGAGTTGATGGGAGGGAGCCAACATCTACCCACAACTGTCATCTCCTGCACTAATTATTTTGATTTCTCAAATGAGTTTGCTAACGTTAATGACGTTAATGACATCAACCTGCATAATCCATCTTCATCTTCTCAATTCGTTTTGAATAATTTAAATAGAAAACAATCATCTGATCCGACATCTTCGGTAAATCAGTCATCAGATGAGACTTCCTCCTTTTCACCATTTATACAAGTTGCTGCTGAAAATGGGCAACAACAACCACCAGCAATGAAAACGGGACATTCAGAGGACCAACGTCAACTACTCAGTCATCAGTCACGAACACAACAACAGCAGCAAAACGACGATCTACAACCACCACAACAACGCAGTCAGCAGCAGCAACAACAAAATTCATCTCAACGACAGTCCGAACAAGAACCAGATCACAATTACCTAACGACAGATCAAGAAGCAAACCAGTCAGAAAACAACCACACGACCGTTGATCAGTCAGTTGACACCTCAAACAATCTACTAGATCCATTTTTGGATCTCGACGATTCGCAAGACGACATCAGCATCGACTTATCTGACAACAGCAACTTGCCTGCAGATTCTGCTAGCATCAACGAAGTCGCTGATACTGTCATCCTTCAAGACAGTAACGTCGCAAAAAGTGATGTCAGTGATGCAGTTAATCATTTTGATAACATCAACTTAGTAATATCTGACAATAATCCGAATGAATCAAATCCTGTTGATTAGTCTTTACATCATTATTTCACATTATTCGCTTATAATTATATTATTTATTCATTTAATTATTATGATTATAACTCCGTTTAAATGTTGAATATTTATAATAATAATTATTATTATTACTTAAAGACAAACTATATGCCTCAGTGTTTAAATGTAAAATATATTGATCCTAGCATGAAAGAGCTATTTATTTTGCATGCACACACCAATCTGAAAATACTAACATTAAAATATAAAATAACATTAATACGGTCATTAAGACATTATTTCTCAATGTATTTTCCAATTTTTGTAAACAACAATAATAACTTGTAATGTAATATATTATAATGTAATAATTGTATTTATTAAATTAATGCATATACGTGAGTTTAAATTTAATAATGTTTAGACGACTCGCTAAGAACGTTAGCGAGGAATTTTTAATGGATCACTTTGGAAGTTTTTTATTGTAATAATAATGAAAATAATAATAATTATTATTATTATTAACATTATTATTGCTTATATAGTCGTCATTTATCGTTAACATCGTCATAATAATAATAATATTATCATTTATATGTTTTAATTGGTTATTATTATTATTATTACTTCAAATTGATTTTCAATAATTTTAATACGTATATTCATTTATTTATTTTATAATATCTAATAATTGTATATATGTCTGTGAGCGTTGAGCTATATAATGATATTATTTTTTTTGGGAATATTTAAGAGATTTTAGCATAATTTTTTAAATATTATTACGAATGGCACAATTTTGTCACGCTTATAAATGTCCATCTTAAAAGTTGTTTTTTTTTCGAAAATACGATTCTAGAAATGTTTTTTTTTTAGTGTGTCTGTAAGTAAATCAGAGGAAAAATATATCAATTTAATTATTTGCTAATTAACTAATTAATTGATTGATTAATTAGTTAATTCATTTATTTATTTATCAATTTCAATCATAAAAGTTTGAGCTATTGTCTTGTAAAAACAATTAAAAAAATTTAAATTTGTCTTCGTTTTTTACTACCAAAAAAATCAGTATTCGTTATTTATAGAGCAACTCCATGTACATAGTAGCAACTTTGTTTTAAATCACCAGAATTATCCACTTCTTCCTTTCAAATCAGCAATTTTTTAGACTCCTGATGCATAGGATTCACCAATCCCCAATCAATCCTCTTTCCGCGTTTCACTTCCACCAACTTCAACATGAGAACGGCGGTGCAGCAGAAACAGGCAGCCATGCCGAAGACCGCCACGACGTACGTCCATCCCAGATAGGCTCCACTTTTTCCTTTCCATGCAGCGTCCTTGCTGTCGAAGTAGTTCTCGTAGTAACGGCCGAATATGACTACCGTTATGAATTGGAAGAATCCTGAAATTAAAAGTGTAGGGATGTTACTTTGTTATATTTTTACTTTTCGGACCGGGCTGCTGTTCAATTTTTTCGACTTACATATAAAATCTCAAATATTTTCGCAGACGAAAATTTTTTAAACGTAATTAGAATCGAATGAGCATTGCGAGTTTACGAAAAAAGCGTTTGATACTAACCAACAGCCACAACAACAATAACAGCTAACAACAACAGAAGAGAACAACGACGACAAACGAATGAACATAACTACCACAGGTGAACATCCCAGCAATGGCGATGCAGTTGAACATGAGGTTGTGTGCGAACGTGGCGACCAGGAGTACCATCGCTACGCATCCCACGGTCGGAAGAAATGTGAAGAAGGATAATATCATGAAGGATTGCGCGGCTTTCAACCAGTCTAAAGTATTTCATTAGATGTTTAATATGTAAGAATTGGAAGAATCGATAATAATGAATAATTTTTAAAGTTTCGTCTTAAAATAAAGAATAAAGTTCGTCAATTTAAAAACAAGGTTTAATCATCAATTACTCAACCAATCATTCAATCAAAAAAATATATTTTCAACCAAGAAGGAACCTGAATAGATGATGTTGACGAAATCGTCACAAATCTGCCTGGACGAACCGCCATACCTCACACCTCTCGTGCCATCACTCACGGACACGATTGGATCGACACAATACTTCCATAGACCTGCAGACGAGCAAATGTTAGATACATTTGTCATTAACTTGTTGAAAATAATTTAAAATTATATGATTTGGAATAAATTAACAAGACATAATAAGCATATTGTCTTGAAAGTTCAAGTTTTAAGAACTACTTTTATTAAAATTGACGAAATTTTTGAACGATTTAATTTAAATTGAATTGTTTCAAAAATGATTCGAACCACCTATATGTTCAACTCTGCGGTTAGGAAAGTGTTTATCGTAAGTGGTGGCCCAGTAGGGAGCTCCCATGGCGATCAAATGGAAAAGAAACGCCACAGCAACGAATACGAATATCAGAATCGACTGCCAATCGACTTCGTATCTCGATTCATCAGTATATTTTGTCGGTCTTGAATATGGCGTTGGCGTAGATGGTGTGGCTGCTGTCGTAGCTGTGTGATGCAGTGCAGCTGAAGGTGTGGTGGTGGTCGTCGTCGTCGTTTCTACAAAGTCTTCACTACTTACTTCCCTGTAACCACCGAATGACGATGAATGCTGCTGCTGCTGTTGATATTGTTGTTGATGATGCATCACTTAATTCTGTTTACAACTGTTAACAGAGGAGAAATTATTCTATCTTATAACAGTTTTATAACAATTATTTTAAATTATAATATTGAAGTGTTAAACCAAATGATTGGAGGATTAAATATTACAAGCACATTCTTTGAAAAGCGTTAATGTTTTTTTTTTCAAAAATCTTCATTAAATACTTTTGATACTAAAAAAAACTTTATTTTCTATAAACATCCAACACAACTTAGTAACAAAAATTTATTAACGTTAAACAAACATTCAGCACTGACTGAATCAAATTAATCGTGAATCAATATAGCGTTCTCTCGTTCTTTTGCAACATGATTCCTGCTTAAATGAAAGCAATATTAATATTAGTTCTATGGGTGCTACTATATGTGTATATAATTATTTTACGGCATGTATGTAGGTACATATGGATTACTTGCTTAATTTATGAAGGAAGAGTTCAAGAGAGAGAGAGAAGGAGAGAGAGAAAAAGAGAGAGATATAAACACAATATAAAACGCAAAACACACACACACACATCCATAATTTAGTTACACGATTCACACCGACTAACGAATTTACTTCTGGATGCCTACCATGCACACGCACGCAAATATTAGTAGTTAACTTTATGCCATTTTAACGTAAGCAATCTACTAATACAAATAGATACCCAAACAATACCTTGATAGCAAGTCATACATCATACTACTAAGAATTGAACTACCAACCAACCAGCCAGCCAGCAAATTTGACATCTCGAGAGTCACTTAGCAACTCTCTCTTCAGAGCTCTGTTGCACAGGCTGTTAAATTGGTGGTAGGTACTTGAAAAACGCAGATTTACAACTCGTGCAATAGCAAGTGCATGCACAGGTATAAATACACAAATTTACATACACAAATACACGTACACATAAACATGAATACACACAAATACATATACACATCCATAAGTACACACACACAAACACACACAAAAATTCAAAACATAAACATCTGAATTCTACTTAATTAAGTATTCATTTATGCGTGTTTATGTACGTGCACTCTTGAGCGTATGCACTTACGTGTGTGTATGTATGCATGCATGCATGTATGTATTTAGAGGAGTAATAGATGCATGTAAATGAATTAATTCACTCTTGGATGTAATTCACTAGAAATAACATGCCGTTGAAACGAATTCGTATTTACATAAATACCTTTACATGATCTAACTTGTCTATATATCAATCAACCAATCAATCAATCGATCGATCAATCGTTCATTCAATCACTCAATCAATCAATTAATCAATCATCCAATCAACCAGCCACCAATCAAATCTATATAGCAAAATTTCAGAGACGCAAGTAAAAAACAACCCAGACACACATTGGAAGAATTATTTCTTAATTTTTATTCCACGTTGTCAAGTAAAACCAACATTCGCTAAATTTTGTATTTTTACAGGTAACCAATTACATCATGGTACATCAACAAATACAAGCACACATATTATATTTATTAATATTATTAAAATAATTATATCGCTCAAAATAATAATAGTAATAATAATAATACAAACATATAATAATAATAATTTCACTAATAATGACGACGATGATGATGATAACAAAGTGTATTTGTTTAATAAAAAAGAGCAATAGTGACCACATCTAATAATAAAATAATAATAATAAAATAATAATAAACTAATTATAACTATAATAAAGTTGGTAAAATGTATAATATATATATATATACTATAAAATAAACAATGTTATTAATTAGCAAGTAGTATTATTTGTTATTATCAGTTTTTAACAGTCAGCAATAACATCATCATCATCACATCACCATCATCATCATCGTTCATATCACCATCATCATCTTCATTCTAACAATGACATCTCTTTCGTAGATTTTATCAATATTATCATTTTCGTTATCATTTGGTCAGCAACTATCTATATAAATAGATCACCATTAGCCTCACTCATATTAACATCATTATGTTTATCTTCTTCGTAACCGTCAACCTCACAATGACGTCATCGTGTCATCACTAATTAGCAGAGTGAGCAATCAATTGGACAACTAGATCAATGTTTTTCACCACACAGTCATACATTGCCAAGTTACCCTTCAACAAAGATGAAGACGACGACGAAGACGACGACGACGATGGCTGTGGCGATGACGGTAGCGATGACGACGACGCGAATGGATCTACCTTCTTACTCTCATCATTACCATCACTTACATCCATGTCTACGTCATCATCGTCACCATCATCGTCGTCATCATCGTTATTAACATTTCCTATACCATCATTATTTTTTTTGCTGCTGCTGCTGCTGCTTTTATTATTATTCGTTTCGTCATCATTGTTACTTTTTTGGTCGCCAGATTTCGTCGTGACGTCATCGCTTACGTCATCGTCATCGACTACATCGAGTCGCCTCTTGAGATTTGTCTTGCTGGGAGTATTGGTGATGGTTGTCGTTTTGGTATTAGGAGTGTTGTTGTTGTTGCTGTTGGCCGTAGTTGTGGTAGTTTTGTTGATGGTTGTGGTAATGTTGCTGCTGTTGGAAGTTGTGGTTGCTGTCGCTACTGCAGTTGTGGTTTCGGAATCACCGGAAAAACATAATTTCCTTTTTTTAGTTGGTGTCCTCGTCGCCAAAGCTCCTCCTGTGGACGTCGTGGCGACTGATGAGGATGTCGTCGGCAATCTGACTTTCAAACCATCCTTCTGCTGCTTATCTGATTTTTGCTGCTGCTGCTGCTGTAACTTTTGCTGACGGGTGGCAAATTTGAGATGGAAATTTTTCAAGTTAATCAAGAAGACGCCGAGTTTGTTGTTGTTGTTGTTGTTGTAAAGCTGCAGTTGTAATTGTTTCGACGATGATATGATCTGCAAGGCCCTCAAATCCTGATTGAGTGAGTGAATAAATGGATGAATTAATTCATCATAGGATAACTAAATGAATGAATGAACGAGTGAATGAAAAAATGACAGAAAAAATTTATGAATGAAATAACTTTCTCCCGGCTCACCCCATTTATTGAGCTGAACAATTTCTCTTTTTGCTTCCTCTTGGCTTCAGCATCAGCATCTTTCGGTTTCTTCTTTTCATCGCCAGCATCATCATTCTCATCATCCTCTTCATCACAATCCTCTTGCGAGCTGATCAATGAGAGGTTGAGTTCAAGAGAATTGATGATGTCATCGAGCAGGCTGCTCGTCTGATTGCACAGAACCTTCTGACTCACCTGTACAAGATATGATCATGACCCAGTGTTCGTTCGTTTGTATGTTCGTTTGTATGTTTGTTTGTATGTTTGATGTTTGTTGATTGATCGGCCGGTTGATCGATTTAATTTCTTCATGTCCCCATCAACATCATCTCAAAATCATGATAATCAACATCAGCAGCAACATTGTAACCATCATCATTCTAATCCATCACTATATCAAAGCCAAACAACCAGCCAATCAATCAAACAAACCTTATTGAAGAAGATACCAAAAAACTTGAATATATGTGGATTGTTTAGAGAGACTCGTTCACTCTGAAGAACAATGTTCATGTAGTCGATGAACGACGAACACGAACAAAGAACATCCAACCACTTTTTGTCAATGGACTCGGCTTGATGTATCTCAGACCAAAGTTTGGCGAAGTACGGTAGGTGCATTACGGCGCCTTCGTACGCAACCATTGCCGACAGCCTACATGGGTAGTAGTATTTCAATGATCTAAAAGCTCCAGTACATGGCTGAATCGTGTTGCTTATATCCTATTTTCATTCAACGAGCAACAAAACAACAGCGACAAACCTAATGATATGATCAGGAAGGTTCTGCTGGTTGACGGCCACCCTGACGAGTAGATCCACAAAATGGTGGTATGGATCGTACGCCTCGTACAACAGGGAGTCGTATTGCTGGTCCACACCCTATCAGCCAATCAATCAACCAACCAACCCAACATCAATCAAACAACCAATCAATTGATCGACCAACCAACCAATCAATCAACCCATTCAACTAATAACTTACGTAGCAACTAATTAAACAACAACAAAAGCAACGAAAACAATGGTAAAGACAAAACGCCACAATAGCAACAACTAAGACAAAATAACAAAGAGGGCAAGCAGTATACACACAAACAAAAAAAAGGGCGAACAAGCAACCTTCTTGCACTCCACTTGATCTGGATGGAGTAGCATTTGAAACTGAGGTCGCGGCAGCCTGATTGCTACCTTACCTTGAGGGGGTTTGTGCCCGACTTTTGGGAAGTACGGACCCATGTTTACTGAGTGAGTGAAAAAATAAACGAATGACAGAAAGAATGAAAGGATGGTCGGACGAAAAGAATCAGTAGCTTTATGACTACTAGAGTTAATAGACGATAAATGATTGATAAAGTAACATTACAACAACAAACAGCATACATCAATGGCACCAGAAACATACACACGCAACAAACACACCCTACAAAAATTCCACAACACACACGCGCGCGCGCGTGCAAAATGTTTGTTTCTCACTTGGCAGACTGCAACTATGAAAAGATGAGTGAGCTTGTATCAATGCCGTAACTGCTGTCTGCATACATTCAAGTTGGAATGTCAACACCATCTCACGTAGGCAGCCTATTTATATAAATAAATTAATAAATTATTACAATTTTTTATAATTATTCGGCCAATAATGAGCAGCAACATCGATAACAGCATTAATAAGAACGGCAACTAACTAAGTATGGCCTGCCTAAGTTCGTGTGTGTTGTAGAAGTTCATCATGGCAACTAGTTTCCTCACGAACTCTGACCTTTCTTTGAACGAGGTCAAATGTGGCTTGACCTCGTTAACTGCAATATCATTGGTTTGTAGTATTAGTGACGAATGCTGATGCTATTCAGGGTTTGATTTAGAAATTGTTGTTATAAAAGTTTTAATTAGATAGACCTATGAAATGATTCCAGTAAAAGAAACACCACAAAAAAGATAGAAAAACGTGCGTAGAGAGAAACACGTACACACCTTTTTTCTCCGAAAGACATCTGCGAGCGGAAGCGAGAGTCTGCGAGAAGACAGCGAGCAACTGGATGATGTCATTGGTCATGTGACAAGCTGTTGCCTCGTGGTGCATCATGTAGAGGGTCACAAACGAGTCATGCATCAGTGAGAGGGCCCCGTGCTGCAGAGCGAAGATACGCTCGTCGTGATGATCCAACAGAATGCGGAAAACGCTGTATTATGAACGTGTGTGTGTGTGTGTGTGTGTGCGTGCGTGCGTGCGTGTGTGAGCACTAACGATATGAGCGTCTGGTAGTGACTTCTGCCGTCAAGCATCGACAAATAAAGTTGCAGCGTTGTCCTCCTGAAGTGCAGGACCACCTTCAAATCATCCTCATCCATGCTGGAGCTGGTCGAACACATCAACTGCATCAGCCAGTACAATTCTTCTACGGCCTGTTGGTGTTGATGTCGTTGAATTGTTGTTGTTGAGTTGTTGTTGAGTTGTTGTTGTAGAGTTGTTGCGTTGATGTTATTGAATTGTTGTTATCGATAGTAGTTAGAATAATAACCAGATACAAGCGAACAGACACACAGACAAGCAGAGACACAAACCGCGGTATACTGCGTTGGATATAGAGTTAGATTTCTGAAAGCCCACTGAGTATTTTGGTGTTGTGAGAGTTGCTTGGTGAACTGTTGAGACTGCATGCAACACATACGTAGGATGCCGTAGTAGGCTGGCAGCATCGTCCTGTTCATAAGCACTACGTCCTGGTCCTCGTGGTCCGCCCTGAATAAATTATGATAATGAGGTGCCAAAATAATTAAATATATTATCATAAACAGATGATAATAATAGTAGCATTACTAACAGTATGTAATTAAATGAGATATTTTTGGCCACGATAGGATTTTCCGTGATGAGTCGTACATTCTCCGGGCAGTCAACACAGGCATGGTACCAAAATATGAGCATGGCCTGAAAAAATGTCAACCAATCAATCAATTAATCACTGAACAAGTCACTAAATCAATCAAACTATCAAGCAACCAGCCAACCAACCAGCCAGCCAGCCAACCAACCTGCTTATTATGATTGACAGCAATCTGTGGTTCAGCCATCTTAGGCTGGTAAAGAGACCACAGATCATTGAAATACTTAGAGAACATCAACTTTTCAGTTTTGGACACGAGACAGTAATTAAGGACAGTGAAGTAAGATACTAGTTTTGAGGTGCCGTACGAATGGTTCTCGACGTATTGGCGCGTCTTGCATAGCAGCTTCAACAGGTGGTTGTATATCTCGTGCAAGATCTCAAGTGCCTCGTCTGTCATCTGCTCGCCGGTTTTAAAATTAACGCGAATCTCAAGTTATTTATCGAATCTCTAAAAGAATCATTTATTATTGTGAAATTAAACAATAAAGTTTAATAAAAAAAATTTGATGGTAGGACTTCGATTCTCATTCAGACTCAATCAACTCTCTTGGTCCTGGCTAGGCTTTGCTTATATTAATGATAACAAACAAAAAAATTTGCCTCAAAATTCTAAAAAAAAAGATGTAAGTAACATAGTAGACATACAGTTCAAGATCCCCAAAAATATAAATATATATATATGAACAAAATTGCAGCAGTAGCAGCAGAAGTAGTAGCCGTAAGAAGAACCTACCACGACGCTTTCTTTGTGCGGCGTCAAGAGGCTTCTATTGCTCCTGAACATCTGGCGGAAGTTGTTGTTGGGCACCATGGAAACCAGGAGGTGGGCTGCACCTGAATCATCATCATTATTATTATTATTATCATCATCATCATCATCATCATCTTTATTATCATCTTCGTCATCACCGCCAAGTAAATCGGCTGAAAACTCACAGTTTCTGACTTTCATGTTATTGATGGCTATGAGGAAGAGTTCGACCCAACTGTCCAGCGTTTGAAGGGCCCATGTGAGAGCCATCTTGTTCCGGGTCACCTGATTGGACAGCCACTCCAAGGTCGCTTGCGGGCAGTATTCACCGCCCACCTGCCAAAACATTCAATCACATTTTAGAGGTCACGCTTATGGCCAAATAAATGAACAAATGATTAGTTGAGTAAGTGAGCGGTTAATTGAGTAAATGATTGAATGAATTAAGTATGATTAAGAATTAATCATGAATAATTAAAATACGACGATGAAAATAATGAAAATGGCCATACCTCCCACAGTTTGATGAGGATGTGCTGCATGAATAGCGGCATTCCAGGCGGTCCTCCAGTGAACTCAACCAACATGGTAAACAGTTTGAAGTAAGGATGGGTCTGTGATTGGTTGGTTGGTTGAATTGGTGATTGATTGATTGATTGATTTATCGAGTGAGCAAACGATTGATTGAAGTTAATTTATTTTAAAGATTAAATAAAACGTTGATTGAGTGAATGAATGAACATATGATTGAGTGAATGAATGAACATATGATTGATTGATTGACAGATGCAGATTAAATGGACTAATTGAAACGATTGACCAAGGTATTGAAAAGTTCGATGATAAATATTCTATGCTAGCCTCACCTCATTGTTACACTTCACCAATGCATTGAACAGCATCTGTACGATCTATCGAATATTAATAGAAACAATTTTAAAAACATAAATCAATCAATCAAACGACTACCCATTCAACCGAACAACCAATCAATCAATCAACCAACCACCATTCAGCAAGGACTAACATTAGAAGCCAGCCTCTCGTTATATCTTGAGAGGCTGAATATCAGATTGCACGTCTGCCTGAGGTTCACCGTCTCTTTAATTTGCTGGTGCAAGAAAGGAAAGCCCTGGATGGATGAAAAAACGTACTCCAATTAATCAATCATTCAATCAATCAATCAACCAACCAACCAATCAATCAACCAATCAATCATTTAATCAGTCAACCAGCCAGTCAAGCATTTAATCAGTCAATCAAACAAGCAACTAACTACACAACCGATCAAACAACCAGCCAACCAACCTTGCCGCCAAGCAAAGCCTGCATGTCCAGCTCGGATAGATTCACATTTTTATGATCGACGCGACTCTTCTCGACGAGAAGTGCCACCAGGGCAATCATCTTCTCGAAGGACTGCGGGCAGCACCTCTCCTCACTCACTACATCCTCCACGTCATCTTCATCCTCGGACAGCGTGTCAGACGTGGATATCGAGATCTGATGACGATGACGTCATGTGGTGATGACGCAATGATGAGGCGTTTGGATGACGGTGTGGAATTAATTGATCGATTGAGTGATGTCATGACGTCATGTGGCTTAATTGATTGATTAAAACGAAGATGACATGATCATGTTATAATGAGGTTACTCACCAAACAAACAACAACAAAAATAACAATAATAATAACAATAACAACGACAAACATAATCGTGATTTTTCTTAGCCAGGTAGAACTTGATGAGCTTGCTGATAGCGTGATTCCTATTGAGAGACATGCACTCTCTATCTCCAATTTTCGCAAACTCCAACAACAAACCTGTCAATCAATCAATCAATCAATCAATCAATCAATCAATCAATCAATCAATCAATCAATCAATCAATCAATCAATCAATCATCAATCAATTATTCAATCAATCAATTAATCAATCAATCAATCTTCCATAGTATCATTATTCGAACTTAGATTAATTTTTAACCAAAATATTCAGGAAGGAATCGACTGAGTGGTCGACTTTCTTGGTCAACCTGTTTGGAAGTAAAGGAAAAGAAAAATTATTTTATTCTATGGCGTAATTTTTAGGTATAGATGTAATAATTTTTATTTATATTAATAATGAATATTATTTTTTAAATACAGTTTTTTTAATAAATAAATCAATCAGTCGAATAACTAATTCATCAATAAATCAACCACTAAACAATTTGTTAGCATATTAGCCAATCAAAGACGGATGTGAAAGCAAATATCAATCAGCCAATCGACCAACCAACTGGTCAAACAACTCTAAAATAGACAGATAGATCAATCACAATCAACTAACCAGTCAACCAATCAACTAATGGTGTCAACCAATCAACTAACCAGTCAACCAACCAATCAACTAACCTGCCACAAAAATACTAACAATAGATAGTAACTTCCTAATGAATCGACTGACACACTTGTCATTCTTTGCAACTCTAGACCCGACCCCAGTCAAATTATCATCTTCGTCGTCGTCGTCATCATCATTGTTGTTGTTGTTGGTGGTGGTGTAATCGTCTTCGTCGTCATCATCATTATTGAGTGACCCTTCGACATCGTCATCATCACCATCTTCATCATCACCGTCATCAGCAACGAATTTTTTCTTTATATCTTTGCCATCATTCTCCCCATCGTTATCATCGTTATTGTTGTTATTGTTATTATTATTATTATTGTTGTTGTTGTTGTTGTGGCGAGCGCTCATTGGCTTAAGTTGGTTGATCACGTGAATCACTAACCTCTGGAACATCTGTCATGATGATGATGATGATTGCGACGATGATGATGATAGTGACGATGATGACGATGATGATAATGACGAATCATTTTTTTTATTAGTCAGTCGGTCAAACAAGCAGACATTATCTAATCATGCATCTAAGTCTTAACACCAGACCAATTAACCAATCGGACAAAACAGATAGACAGACAAACAGACACACAGAGAGATATAAAACAGACAGGCATACAGACATAAAACAAACAGACAGATGCCCAGACAGACAAGAGACAGAGACAGACAAAGGCATACCTGTCTGACGGTCTGGTTAGGGCACTTGATGAGAATTTGCTGCAACCACCAGTCGTCCTGACTCATTTTGTTGAGGAACCACTGGCAACATTTGCTGTCACTGTTGAATAATTTCGTCGTGTTCTCGATCCATTGTAGCATGGTAGGCTGGAGAAGGAATGGGTAATTTAATTAAATTAATTATAAAATCTTATATAAACAGTTTGGCGCTAGGCAGAAGAAAGTAGCTACTAAGCACCTTCTCTTTGGCGTGAATCAGTGTTTCCAGGATAAATGAAACGCTGAGTTTGGTAGCGTACAAGGAGATGTTGATGTTTCTGCTGTTGTTTCGTGCCAGTGTAGTGGGGATGTAGTTGCAGACCTGCCAGATGAAACTGAAGTAGGTGTGATCGAAGATGTTCTTGTCCTGTATGAAGTGCATGTTGTCTTGCCATATCCAATCTGCCAGCTCTGCAGACAGGTTGACCTTCACTTTGACCGGTTCTTCCTCATCGGTCATCAGCTGGTCAGTAATAGTTTTGATGACGTTTTGCGAAGTGGATGAAGATGAATTTGTTGGCGAGTTGTTGTCAATGCTTCTGCTGTGCACTGTACTGCACGATGTCGTTGCATCCTTGTTGTTGTTGTTGTTGCTGCTGCTGCTGTTGTTCACTACTCTCTCGTAAAACAACATGTATGCACTGTGAGTTTTTTCAAACGAAAAATCCAAAAATTTGTCTGTCACTGAGTCATACGTTTTACTCTGGAAGGTGAATTTGAAAAAGTTAAAAACTTTAAATTTTAATTCAGTTAGAAAAAATTAAAACTATAATGCCGTCACAGGAAAAGCTAATGCAACAATCAAATCAATCTCCTAGACAACCGATAAAATCAAGCAACAGTCAGACAGACAGACAGGCAGGCAGACAGACAGGCAGGCAGACAGACAGACATGAGTGAACTGAGCTTACCGTCATCTCTCCTCCAAAGCATTCGGATGCAAGCTGATTAGGATCAAATGATTTGATTTCGGCATCATTGAACAGGAACCACCTATCCTGTCCTAACTCATTCTTGTTCAGTCGATCTCTGATGAAGCTGTAGTAATGGCCGGCATCTGCAGTTCCCGTGTGTACTGTTACACCTATCAACTCGTATTCATACTCCCTGGACGTGCCGTCATTCTCATCAGGAATGTGGCTGGATGAGGCTTTGCGTTCGTTGGCGTCACTGCTTGAGTTGTTTGCACTGGTAGACGATGTGGACGCCTTGTTAGCGTCATTGGCGTTCCCAGCTTTACTACCACTTTCCCCGCTTACATTTTTAATAAGATTCTCTTCCATGTATGGAGACATATCAAGAGACAGTGGGAAGGAGAAATGCGTATTCACTTTCTCCTTCATCATAGTCAGCATATTAAAAGTGTATCGCATCGTATTAAAGCAGAGAATTTTGGGCAGGCGATAAAAACAAGCGCGTTTCTCGGCTCGAACTTTCTTCTGGCATTTGGAGCAGGTGTACATGTTGTCGCCCTCCAACATGTCCTTGACCGTCACCTCATCCAGTGACTCGTAGAGGTTCTTCATGTCAGCAACCTGGCATCTGACAGTGTAGAACTCTTCTGTTGTCCTACTGACGTGCTCGCAGTCCAGAGATACTACGTTGTTCGTTAGAACTCCTCCGAACAGGGTTTTTACCAAACTTTTCTAAAAAAAATTAATTTCACAGAATGTTACTATTTTAAATCCCAGTTTGTTTTTTAAGAAGTTTTATAAGTCGAGCTATTTTTATTGTCAACAGCAAGCCAGCCACTGGAACTGAACGGCCTAAGAACAGGAGCTTAAAACAAATGAACCAACTTACTAAGGATGGGCTGATTTCTTCCAGTTTCGTAATGAGATCCGTAAAGAACTCGGTCATATCCTTCTGTTCGCCCGTGTTGAGCGGTTGATGGTCCATAGTATAGGCCTTGCAGAACGTGAACGGATTGTAGGCCTTGCGCTCACTCTCATGCAGGTAGGCAAACATTTTCTTCAGCTCGGCCAACATTACATAATGTCGCATCTGTTCTGAACACTGGTGGAATTTATTTGTTGTTGTTGTTGTTGCTGCTGTTGTTGTTGGTAGCGATGTTGTGTGCGTAACAAACAGTTGTTGTAATTTTGTTGTCATGGTATCAAACTGCGAAAAATTCGTTGATAACTGGCAAAAAAAAAACAGAGAACACAAAGCAAGCAGGCACAACACACAAACAGCAGGCACACATAGCAAACAACCAGCCTCGACTTCCAGAATACACTTCCTGGCTTCAGGTATCATGAAGAGATGTTGCATGCAGGTAGCCATGTAGCAAGTGGCTCCCAGGTTGGTCAGTCCAACGTAGCCACATTTCGACCGCTCCTCTTCATGGGGCCACATGTCCCAACTGTACAACAGGTGCGAGTCTGACAGTGGCCATCAAAAGTGGGATTAGTGATTATTTTTTGTCTATTTTTATATAAAAAAAACTTACCTACCTACATTATTAATCATGATTTACTAAAGCGACTACTTTTAATACTTTAAAAATGTTATTATATGATAGTGAAAAATTAAACTATTTAAATATATTTTCTAAAATAAGAACCTTTTTGATTCTGGTTCATCAGGAGTCCATGTAGGATGAGGTAGTTGTCGATGTTTGATTTAACCAATTCAACCAGCAGATCAAATGCAGAAGTCCTCGAACTCTGTGACTTACATTTCGGCAGAAATCTTGACGTAGGTGAAGGCAGTGCAAACAAACAATAAAATATTTTTGTTAAAAATGTCTGGCCGGCTATGGTAGATTTAAAAGTGGGGTTGTGCTTGAGAAGTGATGTACAGAGCTTCATCAAACCAACCAATCCTTCATCTTCTGTACTATTACATCTCCTTTCAAAATAACCTCTGGTAACTATTCTCTCTGCTACAACTCTCGTGACTTTACTCAAATTCACTATTTTAAAAATTTTAGAAATCCTGCAATCATCATTCTGTAGGTCGTCATTATTTGCATCTTCTGCAGACAGACTTTCGTCATCCTCTGTGTTCACTCCTCCATCATTTTCAGATGTCCAACTCCTTTCTGCGTCCTCTTTCTTCAGTCCATCCACTAATTGACAGAGAAGCCAGAGATAATCACGACAGCCAGGACCGTGTGGTTCCTTATTATCATCGAACGACTTACCGAATGTAATCAATCCACCAATGCCACCGGCAAAACTGACAATTCCATATTTAATGGACTTCATGACGCAGGCCTCATCGAAGAACGTCAGCAGACCGTTGAAGACAGGAGCGATGTACCTGTAGCCGACGAGATCCCCTCCATTAGACATCCGGCCCAGACACAGTCGGTACAGAGCCAGACATGCTTCCTGCCTTACAGCCGATTCGGGAGCTTCTAAGGTGATCCTCTTCAGCCAGAGTCGAAAGCTTTTAAAGGAACAGACGTCTGAAAACTGAGACGGCGACGCAAAAACTTCCAAAGGAAAGTTCACGGCTCTGGAATAAGCCAGCGAGATAAACAAAGACATGGAATAATGGATGACCTCTAAATGACCTATCGAAGTTAGAGGACAGCCCACGTGGTCTCCTTGTGGTAAGGCAGCATTGAAGACGGTATCCATAAGAACCCTAACTAATGTTGAAACATCGATCAGAGGTAGGACAGATTGATTGATTGGATGAATGAACAAACGATCTTGAGCCCTTCGTTTGCCCAGCTTCTTAACAGGGGCATCGATGATTTCGAACAGTTCAGTCTGACTTGAATCGAGGTCGTACTGGTTGATGGCGAACAGGTTGATCAGTCGAAGTAGAGCGGCCAAGCAGTCGTTCAGCCAATCATTCTGCCTCAGATCATGTTCTTCGTGAAGTTTGGTGGACGTGAAGATGGAAAGAAGGTGCTGGAAGCCTCCACTGGCTATGAACTGTTGGTGGTTGTGCATTGAAGTCAAAAAATATTTTTACGAAAAAATTCATTAAAAAATGAAAAAATTTTTCATGAAAATTTTCTTTGCCAATCTACATTTTGAATTGTTTAATATAAACAAAATTATATTGAACTTTCTCAAATTGTTTGATAGAAACCGCTTACTTTCTCTTTCCAGGTTTCACCGGCATCTACATTAGCACCTCCACTTTCATTTAAACTGCCACTTGTATGTTTGTTTTGACGCTGTGGCTGCTGTTGTTGCTGCTGCTGTGAGTTGTGGTGCAACAGCTTTGATTTGTTTGAAGAAGACTGCCTCAACAGAGTCTCAACAATTTGAAGTGCATACATCAATTTGTGGATGTTATTGGCATTCAGTAGCTCCTCCCAATTTACACTGTTTGTGTTGGGTACATCGAACTCTGAAGAGTCGGATGTAGTAGCGGTGGGTGTAGCTGCAGTGGATGCTGTTGGAGAAGTAGCGGTAGTTAGTATGCTGTCTGTTATATTTTGTAGAATCTTTTTGTTCGTCGGCAACAACATCAGCAAGCTCCAAACTTTGCGAGACAGAACTCTAGCCTTCGTCAATAAACTCATTTGCTCCTGGGAATCCTACGATGAAATTAGGACATTATCACTATCTTCATTATTTTCAATAAAGATTATCACTAAAATCAGTAAAGTTTTTAAAATGAATTATAAGAATCGTTATTAAAGTTATCAGAATGGAAATAAATCCCACCCCAATGAGATAGCTGGGTTGAAAGGAGCTGAGTAGATGCAACAGATCGAACAAATTGGTGAAATGTGGTTCATCAATAAGCAACATCATTGGTAGTTTGTACAGGGATTCGTAATTTTGTGGCTGCTGGTGTGGCTTCAACTGCAAGTTGCTCTCCAGTTTTCTTGATGGCCTGCTGATACTCTGAGACACAAAGACCAACTGCAAAGTTGTGTGTGTGTGTGTGTGTGTGTGTGTGTGTGTGTGTGTGTGTGTGTGTGTGTGTGTGTGCGTGGTGTGTGTGTGTGAGTATGTTGAAGAATCACGCCGTTTATGTGGGGTGGGTACTTTAAAATTATCGACCAAGTTCATTTCTCCATTCAGGTAAGCATCAGTCAATCGAGTTATCATCTCACTAACCAAACAATCAAATCAATCAATCGATCAACTAGCCAGTCAACCTGCGAATCTTTAAACTGCATTTCAGCAAGTGTCTTATCATCCAGTTGCGATGACAATTCTTGACCCAACGTCAACATCCTTATATTCGTTTCTTCATAATGTTGCGGTTGTTGTTGAGTGCTGTTGCTGCTTTTGTTGTTGCTGCTGCTGCTGTTGTTGTAGTTGTTCTCCCACCAATAAGCTACTTCTGCTCTCAGCTCCGCAATCAAATCTGAGCTGGACATCTCAAGAGTTGTCTGTGCGGTTGAAGATGAGGATGAAGATAATAACTTAATTCATTGATTAACAAAACAATAATAACCAATTAAAATGTCAATCAACCAATCCTTAATCAACAATCAATCAATCAATCAATCAATCCTTAATCAATCAACCAATCAATCAACCAACCAACCGGACAACCAACCTTAGAACTGGAGCCAGCAGTTTGTAGTATGACCCTGATTCTGTGGTTGTTGTTGGATTTGTTGGCCATGGTTGGGGCATAGTGACTCTGTATGGATCGGTTGTTGAGGGAGCAGAGACGGAGATGGTAAGCGTGTCTTTTGTGGAAGGATTCAAGGTGATTGGTCAGTAGAAGGAGGGCGCGTTGGATGATTAATAAGCTCGATTCTGATTCCTTTTTGATATAAAAATACTTTGAAAATAGAAAAAGTTTTTGTATAAACTGTTACGCTAAATCATTTTAAAATAAAATTAATTGATTAATTCATTAAACATCTGACTAGGCAAAACCTCTAATATAACAATAAATCAATCAACATATCAACCCTCCAACCAACAAACCAACCAACTAACTAACCGACCAACCAATCAATCAATTAATTAGTCAATCAATCAATCAAACAGACAGACAGACAAGCAAATAATCAAAGAAACAACCCAGCTTACTTTATTGAGATCAGCAGAGGCAGTAGTCAGACTTGCCATGCACTTCTCAATGAAACTCTTCTCTTTGTTTATGGCCTCTTCATTGTTGCCAACTTCATTGATTGATTGTTTGAATGAATGATTGATTGGATAATTGACTGACTGATTGATTAATTAATAAATTATATGATTAAATAAAAAATGAATGAATGAATGAATGAATGAATGAATGAATGAATGAATGAATGAATGAATGAATGAATGAATGATTGATTGATTGATTAGTCAGCTGATAGAAAAAATTGATAAAACCAGTCAAAAGCAGTTACTAACAGCTAACGTAATGGTTGTTGAGGACATTGATAGCATTCAGGCTGACGTCTGTGTTCTTAGCCCTGAGCGCCATCAGCCATAGCTGGTCGATCCCCAACACATTTCTACCGCCCGCGGCTCCATCCCCGCCACTTGATGACGTCATCGCGTGTGTCACGTGACAGAGTTGCGTGAATAGGGTAAGGCCGACCATTGTCGTGTCCTCTGGTTTCAGTTGGGGCATCTGATTAACAAATAGATGAATTAATAAATAATTAATTAGTGAATGAATGAATGAATTAATTAATTAATTAATTCAGGATATACTATACAAACGAATGAACGAACGAACGAACGAACGAATGAATACATTAATATAAAAAATAGAAAAATAGACAAACACTTGATGAATAAAAAAGTTGATGATGCTAGATATATAAGTTAAATACATATGCGGATGAATGAGAATGAACGAAAGAATGAAAGAATAAATGAACAAACGAGAAATCGAACAAACACTAGAAAAAAAACGCAAACAAACAAACAAACATACGAACGAACGAACAAAACCTTATTTAAGAACAGATGCTTCATGGCGTCGATCCTGACGGCATGGCAATCCTTATCCTTCATCTGATTGCACAGCCACTGTAGGCAGTCATCCGTGCATATAGGATCGGATACTAAACAATCCCATAACGTATCCACTTGATCCAGGCTTAATCCTGAATTCAAACAATCAAACAAACAATCATTCATTCAATCAATCAATCTATCAATCATTCATTCATTCACTCATTCATTCATTCATTCATTCATTCACCTTACCAATCACTCGTTCAATCAGGTCTGTCAATAATAGAAAAAGATTGATAGAAAGAAAAAAAAGATAGATTGATTTATGGTATGATTGATTGATTGGTTATTGAAATGTTGTGAAAATGTAGGAAGATGAGAGGAAAGAACATTGGAGGAGTGAGAGAGAGAGAGAGAGAGAGAGAGGTTAAATTAAAATAAACACGAACTGAATGTGTCTGGCGATCCGTTTGATGAATAGATGCAAGTCAGAAAATTTAATCTGGCCTGGATCTCTTCTTTATGAGAGAAACTGAAAACAGTGAAGACAAAAATAAATAAATCATAATTATTACTATTATATCAAATTATATTAACTAACAAAGCATTCTGTGGTTTATTATTTTCTTTGACCATTTTCGTATAGTGTTTCATGTTGTTGAAGAAGTTTTCTATCATATGTAAATCTCTATCTGCCCACCTGGTGTGCGTATGTGTGTGTGTGTGTGCGTGTATGTATGCGTGTGTGCGTGTGCGGTTTGTATGTATGTGACCAACTAATGAATGAACGAATCAATCAATCAATCAACCAATCAATCAATCAACCAACCAAAAAATCAATCAATCTATCGATCAACCAAACAAACAAAAAATCAATCAATCTAACATTGTAATGACATGAGTGTCGGGTCCAGTTCTATACTGATTGAAAGAATTCAGGACCTTTCCAAGCAACCGGAGAGACACGACGACAGATTTGTTGCTGGCGATGTTGCTGATACACGACTCGATGAATCTTGTTTTGACCGAACGGTCGTTCGACAGGCAGACGAGAGAGCTCAAAATTTTTTCACCCTCCGATGCTAAGCCAGGGGCTAACTTGTTCTGAAATGTGTGCGTATGTGTGAGAGTGAGTGAGTGAGAGAGAGAGAGAGAGAGATAGAGAGAGAGAGAGAGAGAGTAAAAAGAAGAGAGATTTGTACGTAAGGGCTGTTGTTGTTATGTTGCTAATGTTTCAAACAACTACAAATATTAATTAACACGGAGAAATTTAGACAATTTTGACGAGTCAGAATTCCCATTACCAACTTATATATTTTCATGCTTAAATACTACACGAATCTAGTAACAAACTATCAGCTTAATTCACTATACCTTCGTTATATTTCCAAAAAACAAATAAATTATAGTGCGTAAGTTGATAGTGATAACGAACAATATTTTCATCCTGTAAGAGTTCCCAGATGATTGTATTGTGGGGCTGGCACAACTCCATCAATTCATCCTTCCGGCTGCCACCGATGACGTTCGTGCTGTTGTTGTTGCTGCTGCCCTTGCTGTCATTACCGACGACAGAGTTGTTGTTGTTGTTGCAACTGTTGTTGACGCCTTGTATTAATATTTGTATCAACTTTGTATATAAGGCGTAGAAATTTCTCATTTTAAATTAATTAAAAGATTGGACCAACAGATAGAAGTTTCACGGATAGCACCATCTTAAAAAGCACCATCACCACATCGTCACCATCCAAACTAAACACAAAATTTACTAATAACCAGCACGATGATCTTCACCAGCACATTCCTCACCACTTCCTTGGTGATGATGATGATGATGATGATGGTGGTGGTGATGCTGGTGGTGATGCCTAAATAGAGTAACGGCATTTCCCAGCTGATGTTGAAGGGTGTGGACCCCAATGAACGACCCTGGGTGCCCCCCAGCGCCGGTGGCCCTGTTGATGTGGGCGATCTCCTCGTCCACTATGGCCTCCTCACCGTCGAAGTCTGACATGTTCTTGTCCGATTTGTTTGTGTACCTGGATGTGGCACTGCTGACTGCACCCGGACTGATCATGCCGTCGATGATGTCACTGGTCAGTCCACGGATGGAAAAATTATTTATTTAATTAATTAATTATTTATTTATTTAATTAGTTATTTCATTAATTATTTATTTATTTAATTACTCATTTATTTATTATTTATTCAATTTGAGGATATATTTTAAAATGTTTTAATAACTAGAATGTTTTTAAAATTTCGGTTCGTTAGTACTCTTATACGCTGATCACAAACCATTCTCTTGAATTCCAACTAGCTACCACAGTACAAGTTAAATACCTATTGGGTTTCACAACATGCAAACATTGAGTAGGATCACTCAAGCGTGGAAAATAAAATGATAAAATGGCAGTCGTTAGCTGAAAAAATCCGTCAAACAACGGAAAATAACACAACGTGAAAATACATCCCCATGTAAGTAAAATAAAACAACGGCATTGCACACACACACACACACACACACATACACACACACACACACACAACAGCATAACAACCTAATAAGTGGTCGTCTACCATCAACCAAGATGACACCGGCACCAGAGCTATCAACATCTCCAGCCGATTCCAAGCACATCTCCAACTCCTCGGCCGTCAACTCGCCACCCTCTCCTCCGTTTCTGTCGAATCCAATTATCAAACCCACGCTGTTGTCCATCTCGTCATCGTCGTCGTCGTCATCAGCGTGAGAGGTTCTGCTGCGTTTGTGTATTTTTTTTATCAACTGTTGTTCGTTTGTCGTGCCGGCGTCATTTTCTGCGCTGGCTTGCTGCGAAGATTCTTCGTTAACGTTTGTCTCGTTGTTGTTGTTGTTATTGGTGTCGCTGATTTTGTCACTGTCTCTACTTAGCAGCGATCGCTCTGATTGCCTACCACGAACAACACCAATTCCACCACCATCACCACCATCGATATCACCACCATCAGGTTTTTTGCAAACAGCATCACCATCGGCGAGGACCTTGTCCTCCTTGAAACTGACAATCTCGCCAACGTGAGCGTCACCCTCTTTGCCATACACTCCTGCGGCCAGCGAGCCAGGCGCCATATCACCCATCACTTTAACCAGTTTAGCATTAGACTTTTTACACTTCCTCTTCAGTTTATTCCTCGTCACATTGTTACCATCATCTCCATTACCCTTCTCCCCAAGGTACGAAGCGTTACTATCACCAGCGTTATCATCATTATTGTCTGCGTTATCATCGTCATCGTCATTTTTCTTCCTTTTTAATTTGGGCTTGCGTTTAATGGTAAGCAAAGGCGATGACGATAACGATCGCGAAGCTAACGCCATCTCTATGGCTTTCTTAGATTTTTTGCGCGCTTCAGTGCAACTTGAGGACGACGAGTATGACGATGAAGATGAAGAAGACGATGACGTGCGAGACGAGGATGTTGACGCCAATGCGGCTGACGCTGCTGACGTTTGACCTATTTCTTTATCTTTTGATTGGTTAACATCTTCGTTGTTATTACAGTCACTATCCAATGACGTCTTTTTGTCGTTTCCAGTTGCCGACACGACATTTCCATTTCTAATTTTTATAACTTTGTTATCAACCAAGCAGCGGTCTTCTTCATCGTCGTCGTCGCCACCAGCGGCCCTGTCCAAGTCGCACTTTCGTTTTTTAACTTTGGAGCCATAGTTAGTGGTGACCAGAATTCTACCTCTGTTCAGCGTCTTCAACATCTTCGATTTCGGCTTCACCCTGGGAAGGATTGCTTTTTTCTGTGTCCGTTTTTCAACTTTTTCAGCCACAAAATTTCTAGCAACTACATCCTCATCCTCCCCCTCATCTTCATTATCTTCTTCCTCTTCTTCTTCCTCTTCGTCATCGTCATCGTCGTAGTCGTCGTCATCGTCGTCGGCGATGTTTCGTTCTATGACTCGCCTGATTTCGTAGTGAAGCTGCTTATTGGCCATCTTGTGGTTGAGAAGCAACTGCTGCTGCTGTAGAGCTTTCTCCGTTGCTTTGCTGCAAGTATCAATTGTACGGTTGGTTGGTTGGTTGGTTGATTGATTGGCTTGAGTCCAAATTGTGAAATCAGGAAATGAACGTAAAAAAATAATAATAGGAGCTAAGAAAATTTTATTATTATATTCCCAGAGGTGTCAAACACATTGCATATGACGGACAGAAATCTTTTTGCATTCAAACTTGGTCACAACAATATCGGAGCCCAGTGCCTTAACTATAAAACCATCACAGCATCCTCCAACATTAAAATAACCCAAGATCATTACAAAAAGACCTCAAAGTCAGAGTTAAAAGGAAGAGTCCAAATAAAATGTTATAAGCTAAACACTGGCTACGTTCGTTATATGTACGACACTACATCAAAAGTTACTAGTATATTAAATATAGAGTGAAGCTGGTTGTGCATATGCCAACTTTTTAGACTTTGTCTAATTGTTTGTTTGTGTTTGTTTGATTCTGTGTTCGTTAAAATAATCCACCATCATTTTTATTTCATTGAATATTATAAATTATCTTCAAGTATTGTTACTAAGCAACTCCAGAGCTAGTGTATATACGCAACAAACAACATAAAACCTATTCAAAATAAAATCAATGAAATCAATTTCGAGATGATTTGGGTATGATTCGAAAAAATAATTTGAAAAAACGGTTTACCTTGAATCCATCTTTTTCTTTCTCTGCTGCTGCTGCTGAAGAAGATGCTTCCTTGATACGTGCAGCATTTTTTCTGTCAAACCTTTACCAGCGGGGCGTTGTGATTTTTTCTTGGAGACAGTCATATCGTTGTCGTCATCATCCTCTTCATCATCGTCATCGTCTTCCTCATCATCTTCTGCATTGTTACTGCTTTCAGAGTTTTCAGGATCATCGTCGTCGTCGTCGTCTTCATCATCTTCTTCGTCGTCGTCATCATCATCATCTTCGTCCTCTTCGTCGTCGTCATCTTGGTTGGCAACATGCTTGGAGAACATGATTCTATCTTCTGATTGAACACTGAATGGTGACCAATGGTTTGTTGGTAGGGTAGGTATGTACTTTTTTAATTAGATGATTTCTAATTTTCAAAAATTCATTCATTGAATGATTTCTATTGCTGCAGTTTGTTAAATTATGAAAAAGTTCTAAATGCTAAGCAAATGTTAAAAAAAATGATCTATATCTCAGTCAAACATTTAACTAATTAAAACATGAGCCAATTAGTAATTCAATGAACAATCAGACAACCACCAATCAAGCAATTTCAAACAAACCCATGTTTCAAGTTTCTCTTTCCTTTCTTATTGATCCAATGTTGTTTGGCCAGAGAGGTTGACACAAGTGAATGATGACGATGATGGCTAAAGTGACCAATGAGCTGACCGTGGTGATGGCGCTGATGTTGTTGATCGTGTTTGTGCTGCAGTGCCAAAGCTTGATTTATGTGAATGTTACTGATGTTAGTGTTGCTGCTGTTGCCACCGACGTGACGTTGTGGCTGAAGTTGCTGCTGCTGATGAAGATGAAGTTGCTGACTTTTTATCTCGCCCATCTCTAAGTCATCTTCGTCATCGTCTTCGGCATCCACGTGACCTATGACCTCATCTTCCTCCTCTTCCTCCTCGCTCTGCGACCTGCTGCTGTTGTTGCGCCTCCTACCATTCAAGTTCAGTTTGGAGGCGTGTTTCAATATCTCCCCTGCAACTATGAGGTGGGTCGAAGATGGAATGAAGGATACAAAAATTACATCACTTTCATTTTATCGAAATCATTATCATAATCATTCCTCAGCCTAATTTTCATCATTCACCCAATCAATCAACTACTCATCCAATCAACCAGCCAATCAGAGAACCACAACAAACCTAATTCCATCTCATCCGGAATATCCTGAGCAGTAACAGCTGCAAAAAATTGTGACTGTGACCCATGACCCCGAGGAACGAAGGCCAAGGTCGGATGATGAGTTATCATGGATGAGGTTGTTGCCACTGCGGTGGTTGTCGCTGAGCTTGCAAGAGCCCCCAGCCACACTAACTTCGTTAGGGAAGAAGCCAGTAGCAGCGTCTGTGAAGTTGGTAATGTTGTTGAGTGTTTAAGCAGAAGATACTACTCCTACTATTAATTTATCATTCATCATTTTCCACTCATTTGCTTATCTTTAATTTGCTTATTTATTTATTCATCTTCTACTCATTATGCATGGATTTGTCATCATCAATTTATTCATTCGTTTAGAATTAACCCATTCATTTGCCCACCATTCATTCATTCATTCATTCTGGCAATCACCTGTTCATTGTGCATGGATATGTCCAACTCTTTCATGAGTGAGTGAAGGTAGTGGGCAGTTAGCAGGTCAAAATTCTTCACTATGGTCAACAGAACATCCAAAACTTGCTTGCCACAATGCTTCAACTGGAGAAGAGTGATGATGATGATGACTGTGGTGGTTGTAATGATGATGATGATGATGACAGTTATGATAATGAGGTGACGATGGTTACTATTGTTATGAGAATGATTGTCACCATGTAAATAGTAGCTAAAATGACTAATGAGAAAAAGAAGCAAAATCATCATCATCTTCATCATCTCCACAAACACCATCATCGCCACACTCATTATTGAGTTAATCATCATCATCCTCTTCATCCTCCTCAACCACCCCAATCATTATCATCCTCACCATCATCACAGCCATCACCATCATCATCATCATCATAGCAGTCATCATCATCATCATCATCATCATCCTCACTTGGGTGGCAGCCCAGATAGCATCAATGTGTTGATTGGTCAGTCTGCACTCCATAGCGAGAAAGTTTAGGATCACTTGACTCTGCTTTATAATCTTTACAACAATAATAAAAATATGAATAATATCAAATAATAATAATAAAAAGTAACCATAATAAAAATATAACAATGATAATAATAATAATAAGTTAGTTGATAAAAGAAATGTTAGATATCTGCTGACCTCTACGTGTAGATTGGGACCAAATATTTCCTCAATGATTTTATTTTCGATTAGCCAATCGGCCAGTTGATTGACAACTGAATCATTAGCCAGTATCGACTCGTTTTGTATAAGTTCACTCAGTACACTCACCTGACTCTGATTGTTTGGTTGGTTGGTTGGATGATTGGTTAGTTGACCACCACAGAAGCCTCACAACAACACAAGTCCACAACACCACATCCACACAAACACGCACCACACATCCACACAAAAATCATCTCTAACATTAATCTGGTTCAATCCAGAGAGCCTGAGTGTCAGAGTTGAACAAACAAAATATTTGACAGCCAGATCGAGTCCTTCGCGATCAAAGTTAAAAAAGGACAACGTGCTGACTTCAGCGGGGGCCGTGCTAACAAGCGCATCACCTCTGGCCGTCTCCTTGAGAACCTGCCAGATCAGCTCAGACATGTTCCTGACGACTGCTGTTCGGAGATCTTTCTCACTAAACTGACAGAGGTAGTTGATCATGTACGAGCGGATAGGAACTATGAAACGAGCAAATGCTTTCGGGTTCAACCACATTCGAAGCTGTAAGAAGTGAATGCAAATAAATGTAAACTTTAAAATTTGAACAACTAACAACTTTCATAGCCCTCTGTGCATAGAATTAGAGGTTCTTAAATTTTTCAAAATATAATCAAAAACATTTTATCGTGTGGATTATTAAAAAAACTTTAAGATAAATCAAACAAAATTTTTTTCAAATATTTAAAACAAACATTGGCACAGATGGCAGCCAACGAATTGGCGATAGCAGGTTGCAATGACTGAGGATCGGCCTCTCTGAAGCAGCGGGCCATGGCCTGGAAGCCATTACTATCACAGAAGTAGCAAACATTTCGTAGCAGAAGTAGTGGCACCTCTGAATCCTGGGTGGGTTGGTTGGTTGTTTGCCATGAAAAAAAAATTAGTTTCTATGCTAACAATAGCCTCCAAAGTCCATCACTCTCATATCATAACAAATCCAACCCTTACAAATTTTATATCATCTACCCCATCATTATCATCATCATCATCCTTGCCAATAAAACCACATACATTAAGTTCACAATAGTCATTCAATACACTAGCGTCCTGCTTGGCTAGCTCCTCGAATGTCGTTGGGATGCGATGTTTGAATGCAAGGTACAGGGGGAAGTTCAGCAAGAAGAGTCTGTTAACAAACTGAAACAGGCGATCTTTCTCTTCGAGTGACCAATTTTTAGAGGACTGGGTTCAAGTTCATATTATTATTAAAAAATTAATACTAGAAAATAAATAAAAAATATTTTTTATTTAATACGATATTAATTTTTAATTTCTTAGCAAATATGTTAAGATAGAAAAACTAGTTCCTGAATTAGTGTGACAACACTAACTTCATCATATTCCGATTTCTCATTGTCTTCATTGGAAATGCTGGTGGACATTTTGGAACCCGGATCGAGACTGGTAACATCGACCTCATCTTCATCTTGTGGCTGATTCTTGCTGTCATGGACTAATGTTTCAACCAGGCGGATAGACTGGGCTATTATCAACTGTATTACGTTGTTGAAACGGCCGAAGTTTTTTATGTCGGCGTAGCAGCACATGCATTGCCTATGGAAAGTTTTAATCAAAAATACAAGTTTTTTAATTGAAAAACGGTACAAGAATAAACTCCAAAGAAACCACATACCTCTGTTGTTGCCAAAGTTGAGAATATAATATGACAGACATGATTTCTTTCTTTGAAAGCCGGACGCCATTTTTATCATTTACCCTTAAATCCCCTGAAATAATAAATAAATAAATATAAAATAATTAAAAAATCAATTTTTTTTGGACTCCATTCAACTCATTCATGTAGGCTAGCATTCAGAAAGTTTGCACTGTAATAAATAGAAATTCACTAACGAGAATCAATAATTTCTAGAACGTCTCCACAAATATCACACATTATCAAAAAAATTTATTTTAATGTTCAAATACAATGTATCATAAAATGATAGACACTATTTACTTAATAATGTAAATTACATTTTCAAACAATGAACTGAAATAAAACGAGGTATGCGTTGGCAAAGAATAAAGGAAATTTAAAAGAGCTATCTATGTCTTTGATTTGGAGTTATCATCATGAATATATATCATGGTTATCATGAATCTTGCTTGATTTAACAGTTTTAACAAAAGTGTATTTAAATACTTCTACTAAAACATAATTTTTGTATATAATAGACTATATATAAGGTATATATAATAATTGGATATGTAATAAGTACTCACTGTATACGTAAATGCATATAAATGATTTAGTAAATAATTATTAGCAATTTTTTCTCTTAAAACATAATTTTGTATATAATAGACTTTATATAAGGTAAATATAATAATCGTATATGTAATAATTACTCACTATATACGTATAAGAATATAAATGATTTAGACTTTGAGCCTTTCCTCATAATTGTCTGCATTTATAAGTGTCAAAATATTTAGTGGATATTGTTTCATCCAGATTTTATAGTCGCTTTTTAGTTTTTTTGACATGTTTCAATTCCTCATTATTTAAGGAGGCATTAAACTTGCAGACTAAAAACGCCTTTTAAATTTTTTTAAAAGTGAACTATTGTAGGACTTAGTGGTTTTTTTTTATTTTTAATATTAATAAGGATTTAAATACTATTTTTACTATAAGATTTAATAATATAATTCTTCTAACTCAAGTAATTAATTTGTAATTTAATTTTTTAAATAATATTTTTGGCTGTCTGCATAACGCTACGATTTTATAAATGTTAAAAGTTCAGGCACAGTTCATCACATCTGCTGGCCGTAGTTTGCTGCTTGGCAGTTCAAAAGTTTCGTCTTGCAAGAAGCCATTTTTAATTAATTTAGCGAGAACAATGTCATCTTCTGCCAAATTAATGTCAGTCGTTGGCAAACCGATGCATTACATCAATGGTGGCCGACTTGATCCAGAAAATGATGAGGAGATGATTGATGTGATTCAGCCATCAACAGGTTAGAAATAAAAATCATTTTGGATAGTACTCAATTATCAAATCAACATGGAATGAATAAACAATGCTCAATACAAATGTTTGCACAAATTTATATTAATTTTTTTTATTGTATTGTATTGCATTGCAATAAAATCTCTATATTAATTATTTGATCCATTTGTTTTAGATATGCCTGAGAAATTCCCTTAAATTAAATTTTTAATATCCATTCTAATACCTTACATTTTTTCAAATTAGGAAAGGTCTTAAGACAGATGAGACCAGCCTGCAAAGAAACAGTTGACAAAGCAGTCAAATGTGCCAAAGATGCCTTCAAAGAATGGCGCTTGTTGGCACCTTCTGAAAGAGGCAGAATACTGTTAAAGGCAGCTGCTTTACTCAGGGTTAGCTAATTTGTTTGCTTGATTCTATTTTAAATTTTGAAAAAAATTTAACAAATTGCTTGGATGTTTTTTTGATGAATTTTTGAATGACAATGTAAACTATAAATGATTTTGTTATTGGGTAATCTATAAATGAATAAATGTTCAGTGTGGATGGTAAATGTTGATTGTTCCAGGAAAGAGTTGAGGAAGTGGCAGAAATGGAAGTGTTAAACAATGGCAAAACAATATTTGAGGCCAGGTTTGATATTGAAGATTCTGCTGGCACGTTGGAGTTTTTGGGTGGCATTGCAACAACTGAACTTGCTGGTTTGGCTCAATAAATTCTAATCATTTATTACTAGATTCCTGGTGGCAATAAGTTTATCGCTGTTTCCTAACTTTAAAAACCAACCAATGCTTCTTATTCAAGTTTTCCTTCTTTTTCTAAAAAGATGACAACCTAAAATATTTAAAAATTGGAGACAAGGTAATGAGAATGTATATAAACAACAAACTTGTAAATTTAAAAAAAAATTTCCACTCAGGTCAACACATGAGACTTCCCGGTGGATCCTTTGGCTACACAGTTCGGGAACCGCTGGGAGTTGTTGTGGGCATTGGGGCATGGAATTACCCCTTTCAAACAGCAGTGTGGAAGTCTGCCCCGGCACTTGTTTGCGGCAATGCAATGGTCTACAAACCTTCTGAGTTCACACCCGTCACATCCTTATTACTGGCCGAGCTGTACAAGGATGCTGGCGTCCCAGATGGCGTTTTTAATGTCGTTCAAGTTAGTTGTTGTTAACGTTGGTGGGGGTAGTGGAAATTTATAATTCGATGGTTTTTAAAGTCATTTTTGCCAAAAAAATAATTTGCATAAAAAATGAATGGATGAGTGATTTGACGAATGAATGAATGAATACAGGGCAAAGGTCAAGTAGGGCAAATGTTGTGTGAACATCCTGACGTGGCAAAAGTTTCACTTACTGGAAGTGTACCAAGTGGTGTCAAAGTTTACAACTCTTGTGCTAAAGTGAGGAAAAGATTATTCATTATTATGTATTTTATGTTTGTTCATTCGTTTATTCTTTCATTCATTCATTCATTCATTGACTGGCTGGCTAGCTGCTTCATTTATTCAGTCATTTTGACATTTAATAATTCAAAATCTATTAAATATCACATGAAATACATTCTTTACAAATAAAATATTATAACATTAGAGTTATGAGCTAAGGAGCTTTTATTCAAAGGACATTTATGCACGCGCGAATTTATTATTCTTTGCAGGATATAAAATGCCTGACCCTCGAATTAGGAGGCAAGTCGCCACTGATCATGTTTGAAGACTGTGACCTGGACAATGCTGTTAAAGGGGCTCTCATTGCTAACTACCTTAGTCAAGGACAGGTTGGTTGGTTGGCTGACTGGTTGGTTGGCTGACTGGCTGGCTGGTTGGCTGGCTGGTCAATCAATCAATTGATTGGTTGGCTGAAAGAATTAAAATTGTCTTTTAAATAGTTTAAAGAGTTACAAATGTGAATAAAATTTTAATTGCAAATGACACATTTCTTAAATCAGTCAGAGATTTTGAAAGTTAAGATGTAGTGTTGTTGACTTTTGAACAGTGTGGTGTTTGGACTCATTAAATAATATTTCTCTCCTTATTATTATTATTGTTATTTTTTCCATATTTATTATTCTCACTTTTATTATTTTATTCTTTCATAATTATTATCACAACAAATTTTTCCTCTCCGCATCTTAAACACGGTTATTTTCAGCTGATAATTTCAACGCGTAGGTGTGCACAAATGGAACGAGAGTTTTCGTGCACGAATCCATATACGATAAGTTTGTGGAGAAGTTGTTGGCTGCCGTGAGGAGAATTAAGATAGGTGATCCGATGGATGAGGAGACGAGAGTTGGTGCCACCATCAGCAAGAGGCAGTTTGATATCGTCATGGGATTCGTTGACCGAGCCAAGAAGCAGGTTCCGTTATGACTACGTTAAAAAAAAACAATTTTTCTCATTTTTCGGTTAGAAATTGGTTTTTAGAAAATTTCTCAGGCTAAGTTTACTATTTATTACTAATTAGATCTGCTTTCCATTCTAATTATTGTAATTATTTCAACATTCATTGATTTATTTATGAATACGTCATGAGAAAATGTTGTATATTATTTATTTATTAATTTTGCGACCTTACCCTAGGGTGCTAAGGTTTTGTGTGGAGGCGAGAGGGTCGACCTTGCGGGGCCGCTATCAGGTGGCTACTACATCAGTCCCTGTGTTCTAGGAGATGTCACAGATGGCATGGAGGTTGCCATCAATGAAGTGTTTGGTCCTGTCATGAGTTTGTTGAAGTTCAAGGATGAGGTGGACGTCGTACAGAGGGCCAACAACTCTTTGCTGGGACTGGCCGCTGGTCTCTTTACTAAGTTTGTGTTTAGTTTCTTCTTGTTGTTGTTTCTGTTGTTTGTTGGCTGTGTTGGTTGAAATGATTTTAATCTTATCACTGAATTTTACTGATGTAGATGTGTTTTAAAAGGAGTGTTTCCAAAATTTATTATAAAAGAAATGGTTCAAGTGTTCTCGAGTGTTTCAGATTAAATTTTCACAAATTTAATACGTCATTTTTCTGTAACAAGTTTTTTATGTTTTATAAATATCACCACCTCAAACAAACAAACGAACAAGTTAATTAGATCAGTCGGTCACAATACCATATAATACCATATTCAGTATGTCATTTAAACTTGGGCAAACATTTACAAGCTGTGACGGACGATTTTATGTCATTATGTATGAACACTCTTTTGCCTTCCTCTCTTTTTAGCTAGCTCTTTTGTTCAGAGTGTCGGAAAATTCCGACTCTGGGTATAAATTTCTGATCCAACTTCTCACTCCGTCACTCCGCTTTTGTTTCTCTTCTCTCTCTTTTTTCCTCTTCCTAACTTGTTCTCCCTTTCTTTATTTTTCTCATCTAATTCTCTTTTTTTCTCTCTCTCTTGTATACACACAAACCTTTCAATCCGACAGAGACTTGAAAAGAGCGCATGAGGTGGCCTCAAAGTTGGAAGCGGGCTTCGTGTGGATCAACACGTACAGCTGGCTGCCTGCTGAAATGCCGTTTGGCGGTGTGAAGAGGTCGGGCATCGGAAGGGAGAACAGCAAGGAGGTCCTCAACTACTACACTAACTGGAAGTCTGTCTACGTCGAGTTGAATGACGTTGCTAGTCCCTTCTGATTGGACAGTTGACGTTGCTTGTCCGTTCTGATTGGACAGTGACGTTGCTTGTCCGTTCTGATTGGACAGTTGACGTTGCTAGTCCGTTCTGATTGGACAGTGGATTTGAGTTTAAAAATTTTTTTGTAATACATAATGATATGGCGTTTATGCTCAAGTGTTGAAGCTAGCTGTTGATATTATTATAGTGATTTTTTGCAGTTTCATTGATAATTGATAGAGAGGGAGAGCAATGACATGAGGAACGTTCTACAATGAGATAGATAGCATAGATAGAGATAAATAGCATGTTTCGCCTGATTGGTTGCAGTTTGTCAATTAATATGAAACCAGCTTTCTGATTTTTTATCTGTACTTTTAAATCCTAATGTATATTTTTTATACATACTTGCCTTACATTATATTTCCTTTAATCAATTGTTGTTATCAAACCTTTCATTCTTAATCATTTTCATTTGTTCTTTTTTTAAATCATGAATATTGTTTGGTGATCAATTGATTGATAGATTTGTTAGTATGTCGATCGATCGATTGATTGATTGATTGATTGATTGATTGATTGATTGATTGATTGATTGATTGATTGATTGATTGATTGATTGATTGATTGATTGATTGATTGATTGATTGATTCATTCATTCATTTATTCATTCATTCATTCAATCATTCATTCATCAGATGATTGACTGG